ACCCTCAATAAAATTATCTTAAAAAAGGAAAGTATACAGACATCCAATGGATTCTTATTGGTTAATAAAAAGAAACAACGTGTTGACTCATGCTACAACTTGATGAACCTTGGAAGCATAATGCTCAGTGAAAGAAGCCCAGCACAAAGACCAAGATTTGTGTGATTCCATTTACATGAAATGTGCAGAATATGCAACTCCACAGAGTAAGGAAGCTTAGTGAGGGAGGAGCAGAGTAACTGCTCATGGGGACAAGGTGATTCCTTTTTTGGGGGGCTAGGGGAGGGGAGTGACAAAAATCTTATAAAACTGGTAATGGTTGATTAACTCCTGTGAATATGAGAGCTCACTATATACTTTAAGCAAGTGATGGGCATGATATGCAAATTATATCAGTTTTCATTTTAAAAAGAACCATTTTCACACTGACAACAGGATTGTCTATGAACTGCACCTTCATAAAGTTGACTCACAAACAAAAAGTCACCGTTTTCCAGTCACGCAGTTGTGATAACAGAGCCCCCGTCCAGGCCTCCTGAGAAAGAGGCTCCTTTTGCTCTATTCTATGCACAGGAGGGAGCACATACATTACCCTTCTACAAACGCATCCAGTTTAGCCAGTTCGTCTGATAAGCCAACCAAGACATCTAGTGTGCCCACCTACAAGAGAAAGACAGCACTTTATCGGATACGTTCAAGTGATTTGCTTTAACAAGATGAAGCAACCTCTTGATTTGAAGGGCCCACAAATCTTCCGCTCTTTTCAAATCAGGCAAGTCTGGTGAAAAAAAAACAAACCCAAATCTGCCAGGCCTTTCAAAAATTATTTACATGTATGAACTAATTCATGGGTCCACGCAGCCTTTAAGACATGAGACTCTCCCGCAGGCCTGGGCCAGGAAGGGTGGACTAATGAAGTCAGGCTGTACGACCGCAGCTCTTACACAGAGTCTGAAGCTGAGGGGCATCAGAGAGTCACAGCAACCGAATTTGTGTGCAAAACTGTAGGTGTGAAAAAGTACGGGTTTGGAAGAACTGTCCACAGCTTACATCAGTGTCTGAAAAGCAATCCACCACCCCAAATACTAAGAACCAGTAATCAAGTCTTTCTGTCGGCTGCAGCCTGTGCTTCACTTAGTCGTAGATCACTGCCGTTCCTTAGGAGAGTCTGGGCCAGGACTGACAAGCAGCCTGCTTCTCTCTTCAGTGCTGCTAGGTTACTGATCTAACATATGCCTTAGATTAAATAACTACATTAGATTTGCCGACTGATTAAGTGCTACTATAAAACATGACATTAGGGAGCATATACATTTAACAGAAAAATTTATCTTGTTATTATGAGAAGAGAGACTACCATTTTTAACTTTTGTGAAATGTTATTTTGAATGTCCAATAACAAATCTTTTCGTAAGATTTCTTAGAACAATTTAAATTAAAATTTAGGGGAAAACACATAAAAATGTTTAAGTGGGGGGGGAAAGGATGATTTTCTTTTGATAGTTTCCTCTAAACTCTCAAATTCCTATTGTCTAAAATCTGAAGACTGGAAAGCTCTAGACATCTGAAATTACGCCCACGATGAAATGAGAAGGCTCCCTTCTCTGGGTACCTTGGCACCTCATGTTTATCTAACGCTACTAAGCAAGCACACTGGTCCTCCTCTTGATGACCAATCCACGCACAATTTTGGAAAGTATACGTTTACCTTTAAGTCTGGAATGTTGAACTTTGAAGTAACAGCCAGATTGTTGTTCTTGGTGGTTGCAGCGTGCAATTTCTCCCACGTTTGCTGACATGTCTTCTCGCCAGGGGCCGAGATAAGCCAGAACTCAGTCATGCTTGTTACCAAGTAGTTCTTCCAAAATCAAGCGTGACTTTGCATGTAAGACAAAACAAACAAAAATACCCAACATTCAATACCATTTGTTTCTATAGTGCGTCAGAGTCTCAAGACAAGTAGTGAGTGATAAAGTATAGTCGGCTACAGAATTAATCCAACACAAGAGTAGGGCCCAAGGTCAAGTCCATTTTACTTACCTGGAAATACCAGGGGTCTTAAAAAAGGTCATGGGGAAAAAACGGAGTGGAAAAATAACGGACTTTTTCCACAAGCTTTCCAAAGTCCCCTCAAGTGGCTATCAAATTTTTAAGGTGATTGTAAATATACTACCAAACAAGATGGTAAAGCCATAAATACACAAGGTGACTAATTTTTTAAACTCTAAAACAAGCTAAATGAGAACATTACAAGAACTGAACGTTCTTCCCAAGACACCAACCACCAATAATTTCATTCCACCAAAGTAGCTGGAGTCACAAATGGATGATGGGTTCATGGTTAAACTTGGAATATGAAACAGACAACCAAAATTGGGAATAAAAAATACACATAACTTACCTTTGGGAAAATTTTAATTAAATCAGTGCATTTGAACAGCAGCCACCAAATAAATTTGCCTCATCTGACTAGTCAGATTAGCAGTTAATTTGACTCCACACTCAACCTAGAGGAATCCTCTCAAATCCCTGAAATACTTAGTTACAACCAAGCCATTTACAAATCAACACACACACAAATCCTTCCAATCTGCACTGCTATTTAAACTGGCAACTTTTTTTCTTTTTAAGGATTTTAAGACAGTGCTCCTCAGAAGGCCAAGGAAAACGACAAACTAGCTCTGGAATTCTACCAGTTAGCTGGAGCCTCCTCTAGGGAGACGGACTGTGCTAGGCCCTTCTCATCCCGCATCCTTCCTGAACTCCTAACGGCCCTCTGAGGGAGGGTTTGTTTGGGTCATAGAACCTGTGGGTTCCAATGTCCTTGTGTCTGACTCTCAAGAGAATGGTGTGCACCCAAGCTTGCCTGTGTGAAGAGATCGCGTGCAGCCTTGAAGCTCCTTGCCCTGTTACCTTCCAGGCTCAGAGCACCTCCTCAGCCTTGCCCAGCTAACCCCGCCAGATGGAGGGCTCTGAGCTGCGCGGCCCTGCTCTTGGCAGCCCGGCTCATCACAATTTCCAGAGCAGCAGACTCCAGCATCCAGAACTATGCGACTTCCTAGAAAGCGCTAACGGAAAGGCAAAAAACGTTTTTAAGAATTGAGGAGGAGGGGACAAAGAATGAGCACAGCCCTTGCCCTCCCACCCTGCCTCCACTCCTGGGGCTACCTGTCTCAGCGGCCATCCCAACCCACCCTGCCTGTGCGGCTCCAAGCGGCGACACCTTTCCTAGCTACTCATACTTCATAGACGATACATGCAAGAATCACAGTGCTCTTCCCTCCTAACTCCGCGTTGTCGCTGTTTTAATGGCATGTTTTCCTCTCCACCTGACTGGGAAATCCTGAAGGACCTGAATCATGTGTGCTCCTCCCATATGAAATGATATGGCCCAGAAGGTACGACTCCTGACAAAGGCAGGTCCTTCATAAGTGCACGAAATGTACAAGCACCAATCAAAAATTCCAATTAGAGAAAATAGCAAAGCCAAGGTAAACATTTAAATCATACAGAGTTTGTTTTTGTTTTCCCCTGTGCGTGATGTGAAAATTTAATTTTAGTTTTCCAGTCAATAGTCTGGTTGCAGTCCCTACATTGTGTAAATAACACTTCACTTTCTTTTTTTGTGTGACTTTTTAAAATATCATTTTATTGGGGTGCATACAACTCTTATCACAATCCATACATACGTCAATGTGAAAAGCACACTTACACATTCGTTGCCCTCATCATTCTCAAAACACTCACTTTCTGCTTGGGCTCCTAGAATCAGCTCATTTTTCTTTTTTTTTCCCCCTCCCTCCCTGCTCCCAATAAATTACATTTTTCAAAGCTGTAGTTTAGATCTTCAGAAGACAAATCCTCATTTTAGATTGTTTTAAATTAAAAACAGATAGAGTTGCAAGTTCCAAGCCTATTTGAAAGGATGAAAACACAGTAAAAACATGAAAGAGAGCTTGAAAAGAACCTGTACTTCAGGCGCGTGACTTTGGATGACCTGAACCCCCACCCGCAGCACTGAGGAAGAAAGACCAGGCAACCTGCCTCTGCAAAGATGGCAGCCGAGAAGACTATGAAACAGTTCTCTTCTGCTCCCAGGGTTGCCATGGACCAGCATGACTCAATGGCCATGGGTGTGGCTTTCTGGTAATTCAGGCAAAGGCCATGGCTAAAATTCTTCTGGCCCCTGGTCAAAGCAAACCCCGAGAGGCTGATAGGAAAGAAAGAGATTTCAGTCCCTAAGGAGGAACATTAACAACGATCCAGGAGAATGACATTAATTTTTTGCAAAACCATTTTTCCTCCTTTTGGGTAACAATGTCCACTTAAAATGTTCTCGTTTAAATTATAATACTTAAGCTTAGTTTTTTTTAAAAAATCATCCTTGAAGATGATGATGTATGCTTCCTCTTTAGTCAGATAAGCTGTATGAGACACAGCATCTAAACTGATGTCCACAGGTTATCAATGCCCCAAGGACCTGGCCGCCACCACCTCCTGTGTGCTTCAAACGACCTGCTTTTCTACCCAAATGGTGTCCTTTGTTTAATAGTCTAGGTTGGAAGCCAGGCATCAGTGTTGGCAATGACACGCTAAAGAAAATGACTGGGAAGGTTCTAATAAATGATGGAGTTCCTCAAGACTCACATCGAGGTCCAAGACTGAGGCTGCGGACGCACATGTGCATCATTTCTCGTGTGGTGACGTCCCTGCACCAGTCATTTCCCATCTAGCTGCTGGATACCCCTCACATGCGTATATCTGTTCTAGGTCCCTCCACTGCCTCCAGACTCTTTATCCTGAGCAGCACTTTTGAATGGATGGTCGCAATTCTGACAACACCTAATTTCCTATTTTATCCACCTGTGTGCTGTTAATTTACCAGTGTAAGCTGGGATATGATTGGTAATATAAATTCATTGAAAAGCATTAATAAAAATGATTTACTTGCTACCAGTCATGTTTTCTCAAGCTGATTATTATATCATAAGAGCCAAAGATAAGTTCAGCTTTAAAAAGGGGGTACTATTTCTGATAGGTAATCTTAGGATATCTACTAAAAAGCCCTGAAAATGTGCAAACTCTTAGGCTCAGTTATTCCAATCTCAAGAAGTTATTTTAAGGACTAGGTTGTGTAGGTAAAAACAAACATTAAATTATAAATTTTCTGTTAATTATCATCTCTGGACATTAGATTATGAATGTTTTCATTCTTTCAGCTTCTAATTTTTAACTATTGAATTAGTACATGTAACCATCACAAAGAACACTTTTTAAAAGTGAGTCAGTAGCCGTAACCTCACACTTGTTCCGTTGAGAACTTCAGAGGGAAGATCCCTGGCGATGATACGAAAGAGAAGTGTCAGAGCCGGAGGCATAGCTGTGCCTGAAGCAGGAGACCAGGGCGAACAAACTGCCTTCGTAGCTCTCTGGGAAGAGTCAGAGGAAGCCCCAATGCCACCTTCAGGAAGCAAGATGGAATGGCACGGAGGCGTGGAATCTAATCCCAATTCTGCATGAATGTCTTCATTTGCAAAACAGGGCAAATGGATAACAATAGCCAGGATTCTTTTCTGTTCCTATATTTCATGACTCCATCTAAGAGGATGGGGCCCAGGGCTCTTTCTCTCCAAAGTTTCTGTAAGACATGAAATCACCTTATAGAACGCAATACGGCCTTTAATCTCGTTTGTTTTAGTCAGACCACATCTGAGACTAGCGGAAAGGGAGGAGGGAGTTTACCAGACCACTGGGTGCAGGACGGTGACTCAGCCTCAGGAGGCATGGTGTCTTCGGCCACAGGGGAGGTCTCTAAGATGAGCTTCCTGGTTGGTGACCACGCACGGGAGAGCAGTGTCTCATTTGTATCAGGTTGGTGGAAATAAATCTGTAGCCCTAAATAAGGCAGGATTCTGCAGGAATCCGATGAGTCATTCCAGTCCATTAATGCCCTCCCCCAGGGGCAGTGATGCCCGAAGGGATGGGGGCCTGGGACTGGACAGTCTGACCGTCAAAGGAGGGCTGCACAGGCAGCTGGTCTGAAAGACAATGTCTGCCTCACTTGTGCTCTGACCAGGTGGTGAGGGCTGGAGACCAAGCGAGTACCTGGATGCAGGCAGCAGGTGAGGGGGACAGGGAAGTGAGGAGGTGAGCATCTGACCATCCACACATTTGTGGAACGGAGTTCATACCGATGCTCACTGTGCAGTCAGCAAAGGAGGCAGGATTTGCCCACTTTGCTCCTTGCACAGGGCAGCGCTAACATTTCCCAACTACATAATGAGCACCACATAACGCAGAATGGGAAGACTTTTCAGCAAGATGGCTGAGTGTCATTCACATCATTACCAACAACTGTGTACTACTATTTGTTTTTACAATACAAAAATTATTAATGCTCCCTAAAATTTAGAAACCATATCAATCACATTTTGAATGATTTGTAAGGCAGCTTGCAAACTTAAAAAATACATCCACAGTGATATGACATATAAAATATAGAACAAGCTGGAATCTGGGCGACATCCTTGCTTTACTCAAGAAATGCATGGTTTACAGAACTGAGGAAGAACAGAATACCAAGAATCTTAGAAGCCCTTCATACAAATGACAGGTGGGCTTTTGGACCACAGCATAGAATCCTTAAGTAATTCCCAAGGCTATTAAAAAAAAAATCCCCTTCTAAAAAAATTATAGATGATGGAAGGCCAAATGACTCACAGAAACATATGTCCCTACTCCTGCTTCCTTTTTGGAATAAAACTCAAATCTGCCCCTCTGGACTGTCACCACTACTGCCCTTGTCTACACTTCTCTGCTTTCTATACCCCCTTCCTCCCTCAAGAGCTCGGCTAGTCCTGCCTGGCTTCTCTTTCCT